CCATCCATGTTTCTGCAAATGGCATTATTTTATTCTTTTTATGATTGAGTAGTCTTCCATCATATATATACCATATCTTCTTTATCCAGTCATCTGTCAATAGATGACTTTGGGTTGTTTCCATGTCTTGGCTATTGTAAATAGTGCTCCTGTGAACACTGGGGTGTATGGGTCTTCTTGAATTATATTTTTCTCTGGATATGTGCCCAGGAATGGGATTGCTGGATCATATGGTAGGTCTATTTTTAATTTTTTAAGGAATCTCCATACTGTTTTCCGTAGTGGCTGGACCAAATTACATTCCCACCAACAGTATCAGAGGGTTCCGTTTTCTCCACACCCTCTCCAGCATTTATTGTTTGAAAACTCTTTAACAATGGCCATTCTGACTGGTATGAGGTGATTCATTATTGTAGTTTTAATTTGCATTTCTCTAACGGTTAATTAGTGATGTTGATCATCTTTTCATGTGCTTGTTGGCCATCTGTATGTCTTCTTTGGGAAGATGTCCTCTGCCCATTTTTCGGTTGGGCTGCCTGCTTTTTTGATATTAAGGTGTATGAGCTGTTTGTATATTTTGGAAATTGGTCCCTTGTTGGTCTCATCATTGCAAATATTGTCTCCCATTCTGTAGGTTGTCTTTTCATTCTGCTGATAGTATCCTTAGCTGTGCCAAAGCTCTTACTGTATTTGGCATGGAGTGTGTCTCCCTTGTATTTCTTGTAGTTTGGTCTTCATTTCTGAAATGTTTTTGTCTTTTTCTTACAGTTTTTTCCTAAGATCTGTCAGTTGTCAGCTATCATTTTCATGTCTTGCCATCATTTTTTCTATCCATTTCTTCTCCAGTTCTTATATTTCTACCCTTTGGTCTTCCTTCAGGCTGGGGTTACTTCTCTCAAGGTTTTTTTATTTATTTGTTTCTTTTTAAATTTGTGCTGTAATTTTGGATTATAATTTTTATTTGTTTTATGGCAATATTTTTATGGTGGAATCTTCTTTATACATAAGAGAACATCAGTGTTCCTCTCTTTTTATTCATGTAGCATCTTTGTACGGATGTTGTGTTTATTCCTTTAACAATTTTTTCCCCTCTATTTCAATTAGTTGAATTTTCCTGGACCAGCAACTAACAGGAGGTTTTGGTGGAAACTAGGAGCAAGGCCAGGATAGTTCTCTAGATTTCTCTGCTGAAAGGCTCCCTCCTCTGTCTTCACGGGAAGGGACTGTTCCTTTAAACTATGGCCTTCCTCTGAATCTACTCTGCTATTGCCTCTCAGGACCCAACCTGGCTCAAGGGGCCGCTGCCTCCAACCTTGACCCCTCCTGGTTCATTCAGCTCCCAGCTCCTGTCTCCTAACATGTTCATCTTCCTCTTAGAGGTGGTGATTTCTGTGATCTTATGCTACTGGGTGCCCCCTGCACTCCATTCTCCCCCCTCACTGCCGTGTCTGCTGGCCTCAGGTGCTTTGTGCCACACTTGACATGTGACTTGAGGTTTATGGGTTTTTCCTGCTCCTGGTTTCCCTAAAGCTGTAGCTTGTGGTTTATTTTTTCCTTCCCCTGTTGCTCTGTCTGACATCAGTGGAAGAGGGAAGATTCCGAACTAAGAATCTGCCTTATTCCTATTGGAAACAGAGGTCTCCACCTCTCTAACTTTTCTGTTTGTAACATCCCCCAAAGAGCAGGCCTCTGCCTACTTGACTTCTGTCTTTGGAATACCTTGCAGCCTTTGGAGAAGGAACATTTTGTAACTTCTGGTCTGAAAACAGCTATTTTTATAAGGATCGCTGCCTTCTAGTACCTGTCACTCTTACTTCTTGAGTAGACATCGTGTATTTATTTACGCCCTGAAAGAGTCAGCGTGCGCTTGATGGGAGGACGGGACAGCAGACCCTCCAAGCAGAGTTTGGAAGTTCCAGGTATGATTTTTCACACCTGGGAGGGTCTGAGTTCTAAGACCAAAGACCCCCCCCCAATTTTATTGATGAAGAAGGTATGGGACAGGCACAGGCCCAACGTCACATAGCCTATTAGTGGCAGATCAGAAACTGTCTGGAGGGAACTGGGGTTGAATTCTATACTCCACTTCCCAGCCAGGTCACCTTCCCCTGGGTCCCTCAGCACGTAGCCTCAGGTATCTCTTAGATGTTAACTTATCAAGGAGGTTGATCAGCACATGCCCTGTGTCCCCACAGTTGGAACATTCGGTTAGTCCTGCTCTCCCTTCCCCATCGTGCAGAAGGAATCTGAGGCCCAGAAAGGGAAAGTGACTTGCCTAAGGTCACATAGCAGGTCAAGCAGGGCTGGGCCGCCCTGGAAGCAGACACCAGCCCGGTGCCACTAGCTATGGCCACTCGCATGAGTCACTTAAATTTTCTGAAAGTTAAACAAGGGAGCAGAGACTGGGATTAGTTGGAATAATACTGGCGCCCCTCACTGGTAGTTGGCACCCCTCACTGACCCCAGCTGGAGCTGGGCCAGGGCCTCCGGACCCCGTTAGTTGCTTGCTTCCTCATGAAGCAGAAGAATGCAGCGGACTCTCCTCTGTCACCCACTGCATCCCCCACTGGGTCCCCAGCCCCAAATCTCCCAGCACATAATGAATCCCAGTTTCTTCTTGGCATGGGGCAAGCGTGAAAGGTTGGGCCGGGTTGTCTCTCATTTGGGGTCGTCTGAGGCCCGTAAACCCAGGAAGTGCCAGAGAGTCCTGTCCCATGTTCACCTGGTCCTACACGTGTCCTCTCCTGGCGGGCAGGTCACTGGCAGTCCCAGCACCTTCAGGCTCTGAGAGTAGAGCCTGGGGCCGATCGCTGTGGCCGGGGATGCTGCACAGTCATCAGCCAGACCTGAATCACGTGCCCACCCCCAGAGCTAGGGAGTAAAGTCTGTGGGGCAGGGGTGGTTCCCCAAAGGAAATTGGGGCGCTGTGATCAGAAGTGGGAATGGGTGCTGGGAGAGCAAAACCACCCGACGGCCACCCCATCTCCCCAGGGGACTTACAACCCTTCTCTCCTGCCATGGGCTGGACGCAGGAGCCCAGAGAGGGTCAGAGGTGGAGCGCCCCCACTGTGGGGGCAGAGGTGGGTGCAGGCCATGGAGGGGTGATGAGCGCCGGGAAGGGGAGCCTTTTCTAGGCACCTGAACCTGGCCCCTGATGACTGTGCTCCCGAGGCGGGGTCCACAGAACTGGTGCTGGGGGCCGGGCCAACAGGGGTCTAGTCAGACCTTCAGCCCCCTGTCTCCACCAGCCCTGCGCTTCCCATCCTCACTTCCTGCCCAAGTTGGATCATGGGGACACGGGGAGCCACAGAAGGTCTTAGAGCAGGGATATGACCACAGTTAGGTGCTAACTGGGACTATCTCCCCAGCTCAGGGCTGGAAGTGGTAGGCAGGGAAACAGGAGGAGGTGGCAACAATGTGCCAGGCTCCACTGACAGAAGCCAGGACTTGGACTGTGGCTGTGAGGCCCATCCAGGGACCACGAGCATGCTTTGGGCCTGAGATCACACGGGTGTTGGGCTGTGGCCAGCTTAGCCCCATACACAGTTCCTATTCCCAGGTCTCAGGCTCCGGCACCAAATATGGTGCTGCTCGTGTCTGGCACCTTCATCCATGGCCAGCAAGGGCACATCCTCCTCAGCAGGCTCATACCGCCCCCACATCAAGGGAAGCCAGCTCATCCCAGCGCCGGGGCCCTGAGCAGCCAGGGCCTCGCTCCATCTTCTTGTCTGCACTCATCAATGTGGTTCACAGTGGATTAAAAATACTCAGGACCGAAATAGCCTCTCTCCCTGCAGGGGAAAACCAGGGCCAGGGGAACATGGGGTTCTTGGTTTACATCACAGCTCTACCACTCACGACCCCTTCTGGGGAGTCCCAGGCAGCTCACCCTACCTCTGACCCCCAGTGTCCTCACGCACATGCTCATTGGCTCATTTCATCACTCAATGGTTTGCCTACTCATTCGTTTCTTCATTCATCAATTCCCTGGTCACTCACTGATCTCACTCATCGATTTGCTCCTTCATTCACTCACTTCCTCCTTTACTCATCCAGTCACTCACTCAATTTTTATTTACTCCATACCAAGAGCCAGGCACTATTCTAGATGCTGAACAAAACACAGAAAAATACCTGTCCTCATAGGGTTATGTTCCAAATAAGTAATCAAAACAAATGAGTGCAAACACCATACAGTATGTTTGTTAGAATAAGTACTAGGAAGAATAAACTTGAGTGGGAGGCATGAAGTGATAGGGAGTTGGAATTTTAGCGGGGCCAGGGAAGGCCCCACGGGAAGATGATTTCTGAGTGAAGATGAGAGGGAGGTGAGGGAATGAACAGTGTGAACACCTGCAGGAGGGAGACCAAGCAGGGAGAACAGCAGGTGTGGGGGCCCTGAGACGGCAGGGTTGGGTGGTGGGCTTGAGGAGGGGGGAGGAGGCCAGGCGGTGATGGGGAGGGAAGTGGGTGGGGGATCGGGGTGTGGGGACTCACAGCACCTGGTGGATCTGGGCCTCCCACATCACTCAGGGTCTGAGCAGAGGGGCAACCTGACCTGACGTGTTTTTAAAGCATCCCTCTGGCTGCTGAGTGAGTGAATCAGTGTGTCCATTTCCTGGGTGCCTACTGTGTACCAGGCACTGAGCCGGGCACTGGGGAGAGAGGTGGTGCAGGTCCCCATGGTGCTTGTGGAGGTCCGTCTAGCTAACTCCCTTCTCATCCTGTGTCACCTCCCGCGGGAAGCCGTCTTCTCCCCTCCGCTGGCCCCTTTGCTCCATTTCAGCCATCCTCGAGTTTATCGTCCTTGTCTCTTTCCAAATGGTCTTCCCTCAGGCTGAGCATTCTTTCAGGGCAGGGCTGCGCCTCAGTCTTCTCTTCTCTCAAGCCTGTTCCCTGAGGGGCAGAGAAAGGAATAATGAGCATGTGGGCCCCAGGCCAGCCTGCCCGGCCTGTGTGGCTGGGGAACGGGCCTCACTGTCTCTCGCCATCTTTTGCAGATGGGTTTGTGGGCGTGGAGAGCATGTGGAAGGACCGTGTTGGCAGAGAAGGTTGGCTGCTGAGCCAGGGCGTGTCTCCAGGAGGCCAGCCAGGCCGCCCCGATCCTCACCTCGCTGCCATGGGCCATCCAGGCTGGTCAGTTTCTGGTGCATGACGTGATTGCAGTTCCCTGCCTCAGCCTCGGGGAAGGCGGGGCCCAACTGAGCAACTCAAGGCTCCCAGCACCTCCCTCAGGCCACAAGACCCCTCTGTCCTGGGGAGGGGTTTACTCCAGCTCCCCTTAGCCCCCAGGCTGCATTCGGTCCCCCTCCACTTTACACCCAAACTTCCAGGCCTCTAGAATGAAAACGATGCAGCTGCCCCTGAGGTTACTGAGGGCCAGAGGGGGTTGGATTCAGGACAGTAATGGTGGCCGGGATTCTGTTAATAGTGAGAACTGTCCAGGTCAACGTACACCGGGTCCAGCGCCAGGCACAGTCACACACTCGCACCGCCTCTCTGCTGGCCAGGACAGTGCAGTGCTGAGAGCACAGACTTTGGAGCCAGGTGGCCTGGGTTCAAACCCCGGCCCTGGCCAGGGGACTCTGCATGAATTATAGGACTTCTCTGTGCCTCAGTCTCCTCACATGTAAAGTGAGGGTGATGATTCCCCTCTACAGGGTGGCTGTAAGTGATTAATTAATTAATATGTATGACATGCTATTACTGTCCAGCTGGTTCAGGCAGACCTGGGGTCCCACACAGTCCCACCTCGAGGGCACCCAAGAATGTTCCAATGTGGGCACCACAAAAGAGCGAGGGTCCGAGGGCAACAGTACTAGTCAAGGTCACAGACTATATATAGCACAAACTCCCCATCCCTTTCCCTTCTAGTCAGGGACTGGGGCAGCCAGAGGCCCAGGAGATCCTGCTGTGTCCAGGCCAAGGGTTTCGGGATCCAGCGGCATGCCCATGTGCCACCCATCCTGCTTCTGAGCAAGCTTGCCTGCCATCGCCCAGGCCCCTAGAGCTCCAGGCCTCCGGCTGGAAGTGCCCATGGTTGCTGGCTGTCCTTCCTCTTGGACCACCTCCAGGCCTGGTTTGTGGAACTGAATGGGCCTCAAATCATAGGCCGCCAACCTGGCAGTTTGAGTGGGACAGGCCTCACCAGGAAGAGAGGCCTGTGTGCCATGTGGCAACGGCATGATCTCTGACAGCCCTGGCACATGCCAGACCCTGCCCTGGGCCTGTGTTGGCCGCACATTGTAGGTGGCACTGGCCCAGTCCATGGGGAACTCACAGGTATGTCACAGAATGTTGGACTCTGTGTACATCTTAGCCCATGGCCCAGTGCTCCCATTTTGCAGGTGAGGAGACGGGGCTTTGAGCAGGCAGCTGGCAGGTCTGCGGGCTCTAGAAGACGGTGTGAGCTGTGGCTGGTGTTTGTGGGAAGTGTGTTTCTTGGGTCGGGGATGCCAGCAGCCTGCCCGAGTGTGGTGCTCGTCTCTTGCAGACCAGCCAGTTCCTGCTGGAGGCTCCTGACATCACCTGGGGAGATGCTGTCCAGGCCCCCCGACTGGCTGCTGTGGCTGCTCCGGGGCACCCCAAGACAGCGGGTCTGCACCCTGTTTATCATCAGCTTCAAGTTCATGCTTTTTGTCTCCGTCATGATCTACTGGCACATCGTGGGAGAGCCCAGGGGCCAAGGACATTTCTCCAACCTGCCTGCCGACATCCCCTGCCCCCGCTTGGTGCCCCCCACACCAGCCTCTGGAACCCCACCTCCAGGCAACATCTTCTTCCTGGAGACTTCTGACCGGACCAACCCCAACTTCCTGTTCATGTGCTCAGTGGAGTCAGCAGCCCGGGCCCACCCCGAGTCGCGGGTGGTGGTCCTGATGAAGGGGCTGCCTGGCGGGAACGCCTCCCTACCCCGGCACCTGGGCCTCTCGCTGCTGGGCTGCTTCCCCAACGTGCAGATCCTCCCACTGGACCTGGAGGAGCTGTTCCGGGACACGCCTCTGGCAGCCTGGTACACGGCCGTGCGGCAGCGGTGGGAGCCCTACCTGCTGCCCGTGCTCTCCGATGCCTCTAGGATTGCGCTCCTGTGGAAGTTTGGAGGCATCTACCTGGACACGGATTTCATCGTCCTCAAGAACCTGAGGAACCTGACCAATGCACTGGGCACCCAGTCCCGCTACGTCCTCAACGGCGCCTTCCTGGCCTTCGAGCGCCACCATGAGTTCATGGCGCTGTGCATGCGTGACTTCGTGGCCCACTACAACGGCTGGATCTGGGGCCACCAGGGCCCGCAGCTGCTCACGCGGGTCTTCAAGAAGTGGTGCTCCATCCGCAGCCTGGGCGAGAGCCACTTCTGCCGCGGCGTCACCACCCTGCCCTGCGAGGCGTTCTACCCCATCCCCTGGCAGAACTGGAAGAAGTACTTTGAAGAGATCACCCCCGAGGAGCTGTCCCGGCTGCTCAATGCCACCTACGCTGTCCACGTGTGGAACAAGAAGAGCCAGGGCACAAGCTTCGAGGCCACGTCCAGGGCGCTGCTGGCCCAGCTCCACTCCCGCTACTGCCCCACGACACATGAGGCCATGAAGATGTACTTGTGAAGGGCTTGCCAGGCCGCCTGCCCCCACCTAGCATCCGGGAGAAGGGCTCTCGGCCACCCTTCCTGGGGAGGCGAGATGGGAGGGCTCGGGAGAGGGAGGCCTGAGCTGCTGCAGCCCAGGATTTGGTGCAGAAAACTGTCAGCCCAAGAGGTGTTACTGGAGGACGTGCTGCAGGCCCTGGGATCTGCTCCCTTCAAGCTTGTGTGAGGCTGGTTGGACAGTCCCTAGGCCAGTGCACTGTCACAGGGTACAGGTGACTAGTGGTGAGGGTAAGGTGCTCAGCCAGAATCAACTGGAGTCTTATAGACAACAGGCAAGCCCAGTGAACATGAAAGCATCTTCCAGGGCAGCATGGAAAGCAGGCAGGTTGGGGCTGAAGTGCCCATGAGGGGAGCACAAAGCCCAAGGAAAGAGGGTTGAGAGCAGGGAGAGGAGGCAGCTTGTGCAGGAGTGGGGAAGCAAAGCCAGCCTCATGAGCCCAAGGGGTGGGGAGCTTTGGGGGGTTTGGTTTCTTTTTCAGAGGGGCCAAGGCAGGCAGAGCCGGCCCGGGGAGCAATTTGGGAGAAACCCGGCCTACCCACCCCATCCTTGTTTCTAGAGATGTTGCAAGAGTGACATGTGCCAGCTGCCTGCTTGTGGGCACGGGGGCTGGAGTTCTTTTGGCTCAGGAAAAGCATTTTAAAGAAATCACTCCCTGCTGTGCCTGTGATAAACACAGGAGAATAATAAATACAATAAATGACTCACCAACATCTAGTGCTTTTTGGTTTATGAAATGCATTCACTTGCACAGCCCTCGTCAGCCCACTCTGCAGCTGGGGAAGCAGCTGAGGCTGGTGGTGGTGGTGACTTGTCTGAGGTCACACGACCTGCCAAGGTCAGAGGGCCCCGGGGACCTGGCCGCTGGGCAGGCTCACAGCCCTGGTGCTGGTGCCAGAGAGCAGCTGCGGTGGGAAATGGGAGAAGCCCACTTTCCCACCTCACTTTTCAAGGCTCACAAACAGCCTCAGTTGGGTCCCACTGGCACCCCCACCCCCACCCCATAATGAGCCCGAATCTGTTTTACCCTGAACTGAGCCAAATGAGCCCACCACCAGGGTGGGGGCATGCTGCCATCAAACTTAGAGGAGGCCCAAGGGAGGTGTGAGGGCCTGTGGGGTCCCTCCTGCCTCACCCGCGCCATCTGTCTAAGAACCTAGGAGAGACAGAAGTGCCATGCTGGCAGCCCCAGGGCTGGGCCAGAGGAAAACCTGCTCCCCACAGGGCAAGGCTCCGGCTTGTTTGTGGGGAGGAAGGAAGCTGCCGGTATGAGCTGGGCATTTCGGCCGGGCGGGACAAACCCTTCCCGTGGGACCGGGGATGCTGTCAGGGCCCCTGGGACTCAGCCGGCTGCAGTTTGGAAGCCAAGGGGAGAGGTGTTTAGAGGCCTCTGGATTCTGCCGGCAGTAGATCTTGGGAAGCCTGGTAAGGAGGTGAGACCCCTGGCTCCAGCGGTATTCAAGAACAGGTTATGTTTTTGATGAAAACAATGAATGTTGTTTCAATTATTTCTCCAGCCACAATATCACTTCACCTATCTTTTAAAATTGTTTTAGAATGAGTAGATTTTATTTTAATAATAGAAATAAATACAATGGTATATAGTTAAGCAAGTGGGTTGACCTCTTCGGGTGAAGGACAGTTTTACTAGTCATTTGGCCGTCATATAGCGAGTGCCTACTAGGCACCATGCAGAGATGAAACAGACACCTCACTCCCTTGCCCTAAACTCTTCCATGGCTCCCTGTTGCCTAGACACCGAAGCCTAACTCCTGGGCCCAGCATTCAAGGCCCTCCATAATCTGGCCCTGCCTCCCTCTCCAGCCTTGAGCATTGCCTTCCTGGACACTAAACCACATTCTTGACTCCCCTCCCCACTCTGATGGCCACAGGTTGCTACTCTATGCCTTTGCTGCTGCCTGCAGTGCCTTCCCACCATCTTCAACAAACTCCTGTTCCTTCCCATGAGGCTGATGTCCCCTCGAGGACGCCTTCCCTGACTGCCCGCCGCCACCCCTACCCCAGTCCCACAGCTTCTATGCAACCTCCATGACCGTTGAATTCTTGGTCTGTCCCCCAAAAGATCTTGAAGGCCAGATCCATGTCAAACCTCTCTCAGAGTCATTCCCAAGGGGCTCCTAGCCAGGGGACATCCATGTAGCTTTGCAGAGACCTCAGGAAGTTCCCGTCAGTCCATGTAGAGCTGAAGGCCCAGAGGGACCAGCTCTGCACCCTCTCTCTCTGGGAGCATCAGTTAGAGATCTTTGGGCCCCCAGACACCCCGGGCATTGTCTAACCCAGAGGACCTGGCCAAGCCCGGCCAGCAGCTGCAGCCAGCTCTGTAGGAAGGCTGGCCGAACGTTTCCAGGCCTTCTCAGAGGACCTCGACCTGGAAATGAGGTCAGGGAGGCAGCTTTGGCCCCAGAGCCTCCTTACATCATGCCAGGCAGGGCCCTCCAAGAATGGGAGAACTCTCATATTCTCCTGGCATCCTTGTCTCTGAGAAAGTGGGCAGAGGGGTACAGAGAAGGGGCACCAAGACTGGGGTTGACTTTTTCTCTTCCACATTCTAGTAAGGACCCTCCGTGCAATGGCCAGGATGGCTGTGGGCTGTCCCTTGCTGAGCCTGCCCCTCACTAAGGCTGCCCTACCCCACGCCCAGCCACTTAATGCAGTAAGTTGAAAACCAGTCAGGACCAGCTGGCCAGAAATAACAGCAGCATCCTGGAGAATAGAGGCGGGAGGATGGGTGCGGGCAGCGCCGAGGTGACAGGAGAAAGGCTGGTTCATCACCAGGCCATGAGGCCAGAAGGTGCCCCCTGCTGCGCTTAACCCTAGCCTTGAGGACACCAGCCTCGCCTGGCCTGGTGCTGTGTTCTTGTGCCTCCTCTGGGCTGGGAGGAACCATCCTAAAGCCCGAGGCAGGGCAGGGGAGCCCAAAGATCACCTTTTCCTGCCTCCTGGCCTGTGTGCCCTGGTCAGAGCTGTGCCTGTGTCCTCTTACAAAGAGGAGGTGTATGGTACCCACTTCCTAGCCTGGTTGTGACAATTAGATGAGCCAGCACAGTGCCTGGCATGGAACATATTATACAGAATACATCCCCATTTCTATCCGGGGAACAGGCTCAGCAAGCGCTGGGATTTGAACCCAGGCCTCAGCTGTCCTGAGGAACAAGCTCAGGCAGGAAGGAGACTGGCTGAGGGTGCTTGAGATGGCGCCAGTGCCAGCCTGAGTGGGAGCTTGGACTCCTCACCTGCCTGTGCAGACCCACAGACCAAAGGCCGGAGCCCTCCCTGGGTTCCTCTGCCCTGGCCGGATTCCAGAGAGACTCTGTGCTTTCTTCTGCCGCATCCCAAGTTCACAGTCACCTGATGCCCTGACAACCTCAGGCAGCCCACCCTCGCCCCACCCCCTATCCGCCCACCCTCTGCCCCCCTCCCCCATTCCACCCCACTCCACCCCCACCCCTTCCTCTTCCCCCCTCCCCTACCTCCCACCCCCAACCCTTTCTCCCCTCCCCAACACCCCCACCCCCGCTTTGGAGTAGGAGCTGGAACATTTGCTGGGCAACTGATTTCTTAAGTTCTCGGAAAGGAGAAGGAAGGGAGGGCCCGACTCCCTGGGAAGGCTGCCCTGGGGACAGTAATCAGATCCTAGGAACGCTGTTGTTTGTTTCTGGCTCTGGAGAGGGTGTTTACAGATGTTTTTGTCTGGGAGTTGGGGAAGAAGGTGAGGACCCATCCCTTTACTGGGGGGCAGCAAGTGACCCAGCAGGGGCCTGAGGCAAGTTTGCTGTTGATTATTTAATGAACCTTCCCGATTGGCCAAGACCAGGCAAGCGAGGAAGTAGATTTTCCAGCGGCGCTGGGGTAGGGGAATAATTCCCCCTTGCTGCTGTATCAATATTCAACTTCTTGTTTAAATATTAAATTGGAATGTCCTCCATCTGAGAACAAAGATGAGGAGTAGCTTAGGACTACGTTCCTGGAAGTCTGGCTTCATGGTTCACTTGTTCCTAAATCTGTTTGTCCTAAAGTGGGCCAGCCAGTGTAAGGCATGCTGGGAAATCTGCCATGAGGTTGGGGGTCAGGACGGGACATTGCTTTGGACTCAGGTGAGATCTAGGCTACCGTGGTTGGGGGTGGGGGTGGGGAGAGCATCCACTTCCTTGGGGCTGGGGACAGCAGCAGGAGGGAACCAAGGT